GACAGAATGGTTGGCAGTGACATTTACTGTGGCAAGCTGTTATTCAAGAATTTGTCATTATTCCCAGAAGCTTACTACTGGTTTAAATTATTAGTCTTTTGTTCTCTATACACAACTTGCCTAGACTAATATGCTATATGGGAGTTATGTCTACTTTATTTGTAAAATTGGTAAAATTACCAATAAAATTTCCAATAAAATTTTCAGAAGTTTTGTCCAGATTTCAATATGCAGTATCAAAGTCTCATTTTGACTTCAGTCTTATTTCTCTAACGTCTAATAGGTGTAAATGATCCATTTTCTTAAAAAAACAAAACTCTCCTCGTTATAGTAACCTATAAAATATTATTTTTTCCTTCCCGTCCCTCTCACCCGTTGCCCATTCTTCCACTTAACACCTACTCCCTCGGCAAATATTTCCTCGCCCCAATCCTCCACAGTTACCAAATCTATGATGGCGGCCTAATACGAAAATGTGCACTCGTGCGCCCAAAATACGCCGGCACTGCAGGCTACCTGAGCCTTAACATATTGAATCTAAAGTTTCTTAACGCTTCGAAAAAAAGGATGTCAAGGGCTCTGCCTGTTTCTTCTTACGCTTTGATTTTAGAAATGATCTGCCTTAAGACGTCTGAAAGAGTTAAACAAGGACCTCTTTTGTCATTGATCTTTCATTTCATTTTCTTCAACGGGACTTAGCTGGGAACTACTTCACCATCTTGAGAAGTTAATTGACAGATGATTACCACTCAGGGTGTCGGAGCTTCAGTCACAGTCATCGACAACACGATTCTTTTCAGCAGAATTAATATTAATCTAGACAATGGCGATTACTCTATGCGCGCATTAATTCCGGCACTAGCGCACTAAAAATTTCCGGCACTAAAAATTTTACCAAATCCTTGACTCTCTTCGATCGATATATTTATTTACATATTTATTTTCTCGAAGATATTAGCATGTTATTTTTGCTATTTTAAATTCGGGTTGAAATAAAGGCTTGTTGTTGCTGTTGTATCGTATATTTAAAAAGTTACGCTTACAAAGAACCAAAACAATGAGAATAACATTAACACCCTCTTTGCTTGGGCGTAACCTTCATATCGTCTTGGTGTTGGCTGGGCGCGTTCTTCATTTGATTTCTTTTATTTATTTCCTCACAGGCCAAACATATGATCATGCTACGGGATAGCGTCATTCAAGATATTATTCAGTTTCTGGAGCACTGCGAAAGTAAGTTTCACTTTCTTCTGCTTGATTTTAGTGTTGCGAACTTGGACCTGCTTTGACCTAGTTTCGGCTTTGAAACTAGACCTTGTTTCAGAAGAGCTGTGCTGTATTGACTTTAGCGTCACAGAGGTAGCCGGTCTTTTCGTCTAAAGTCTTAGGTCCATTCGGCCAGCTTATCAAGTCTTTTCGTCAAAGGTACAACATTATTTGAAATGAAGTTGTAACGCAATATATTTTATTAGATAGTGACAAAAATAAAGACCTACCGTTGAATCATTTCGCGCAAAAGAAATGGGAATATTTGGCTTATTGTGAAGCGTCTGTTAGGTGTAATAAACAACTCAGGTCTGATTTTCGCTATTGCATAAATAGCGCTCTCCACTGCGAAGATCGTGCATCATACGTAAACAACTAAGTGTAACATCACTAAATGTCCGACATAACCAACAACATAGTACAACATGATAAAGAAATAAAACTAAGCCAAAAATGACCCCAAATTAGCATCCTCTCTGTGTATTTATTGTAATTGACGACGTTGAATTCGTAAACGAGGATTGGTGGCTAAAGCTATCGGAACCAAAATGGCAACGACTCGCACTAATAAGTTCTTTATATAGTCTTATCTAACCTTCTAAAAGCTTCGAGAAAAGACCAATTAGACGAACAAAAATTTTGGACTAAAAGACTTGGACGAAAAGACTTTTGGACGAAAAGACCGTATGAATTTATTAAATATATAGATTTAATACCTTTGTTACTGATCTGGCAATTGGAGCTTCACTTTAGTAATAATTGTTGTTGTGTAGTTTTAAGATCTATATGGTATATACTGATGATATGTTATATTTTTCGTTGCAGCTTATGGCAAGAATGTACCTGCAGTCGTCGAACAACCACTAGAGGAAGAAAAAATTCACCCAGGCAAAAATACTGTCACATTTGAGGCCAGAGAATTAAAGAGCTTGTTCTTACGTTTGATTTAAAATACTGAGAGGGAATGGTACCGGCGGGATGTTTTTCTCAAGAAGCAAAGTCTACGAACACCGAAGATAATTTACGGAAGCGAGAAACAAATGCGCAAAAATGTGAAAATGATGTATAGAAATGTTCATCTATCAATGTAAACAGCTAGGCAGTTTCGTAGTACTCAAAAGATTTCTCTCCTGTGGAGTTCCCACTTGAGAAGACCATGAAAATTGAGTAATCACAAAGTTATGTGTAAATAAACTATATGAACTACTGTATAGTTCTATTGTTATGTAACGAATATTTAGTTTTGCATTTAATGCAGAGGAAAGACGCAATCGAGAATTTTCTGATCGTTTCAAAATTATCTTATTTTGTGCTTTGTGCGCAGTAAGCGTGCGTAAACTTCGAGAAATAAAGTGTGTATAGGAGGCTCAAAAGTTCTACGACGTAAGAACCGTGAGTAACCTCATTTACCGGCCAATCTTTGATCTTATCGCGCAACACACTCGTAAGAAATAACCCGTTGTACGACGAGATCAGAGAACAGCGGCAAGAAAAAAATGGTGTGATCATGAAGACGAAAGTTCTGATCATTTCAAACTAATCGTTTTGTTTGCGCAGAAAGCGTGTGCAGACTTCGTGAGATAAAGTGTGTATAGCACGCTCAAAATCCCCACAGCGAAAGCTCCATGGGTAACCTTACGGGCAAATGAAATAATTTGGATACATCAACAAAGTTGAAATGGTAAATTGGCCACCGTAACGATTACAAAAGCTGACGTTTCGAGCGTTAGCCCTTCGTCTGAGCGAATAGAGGAATTGTGGGTTGTGTGTGCTAGGTAGAAAATAGAGCTAGGGTATTGGTGGGAACATGGCAACGAGAAAAACAAAAATAAATTAGTGGAATGAAATGCGTTCGTTGATCCCTGTGGGATTTAGACTGCCGGTTTAAAAGATGAGCTTCGGTTCAAGAGTTTTACGGCTTTCCGTGCTACCTAAGTGCAAGGAAAGACCGCAGATTGCCATATGTTGCTTAGAATGGTTAGGTAAATTAAAGTGTCTAGCGACTGGTTTCGATGTGTCCTTGACATTCTTTTTCACGTCGCGAAGGTGTTCTCTGAATCGGTCACCTAGTCTTCTGCCTGTTTCGCCAATGTGTATCTTTTTGCAATAAGTGCAAGTTATGCAATAGATTACATTGGCGGAGGTGCACGTGAAGTGATCGGTGATCTTAATGGATCGTTTGGGTCCCGATATTTTATCAGTGTTGTGAATGAAAGGACATGTTTTGCATCGTGCACGAGTGCATTTAAAAGTGCCTGGTTGGTCATCAGTCTGAAAAGAACTTCTGACCAAAAAATTGCCTATGTTTTTGTCGCGTTTGAATGAAATGAGCGGAGGCTGCGAAAAGATAGTGCTTGTCTCTGGATCGTTTTGAAGTAATTTAAAGTTTTTAAGAATGATGGATTTAACTGAGTGGTTGTGAGGGTGAAACGTGAGAGTGAATGGAATGCGGTCGGAATCTTCCTTTTGTGACGTTTGTAGTGCTGAATGTCGATCAATAAGTTGGGCGCGGTGGTAACCCGCTTGAACGACAGAATCAGGGTAACCACGTTTATCGAAAAACTGGCACATTGACTCTGATTTGTGGTGGAAATCAGAGTCATCACTACATAAACGACGAAGTCTTAGAAACTGAGAAAAAGGAATGGAATTCTTAACGTGAGATGGATGCGAAGACGAATACAACAAGTAATTATGCGAGTCTGTAGGTTTGTAATACACACTAGTGCATAAACCGTTGCCTTCAATTGAAACTTTGATGTCTAAAAAGGATAAAGAATTGTCAGAAATTTCCCAGGTATATTTCAGAGCCGGGTGAAAAGAATTGACTGCGGTTATGAATTGAGTCAGCTCCTCTCTGGTAGAGGAGGTGGCGCCGATACAGTCGTCGATGTAGCGACCGTAGAGTTCAGGTTTGGAGCCGTTGTATTGGCTGAAAAATTGGTGTTCGACAAAACCTACAAAAAGATTGGCATAGCTAGGTCCCATTTTGGTACCCATGGCTACACCATTGGTTTGTTTGAAAAAGTTGTCCCCGAATGAAAAACAATTGAGTGTGAGCACTAGTTCGGCTAAGCGTAGTAGTGTTTCAGATTTAGGTTCCTTAACAGTACGTTGATCAAAAAAATGTTTAAGGGCCAGAAGACCTTCGCCATTAGGAATGACAGTGTAAAGAGACGTAATATCCATGGTGAAAAGAAGTTTGTTTTGGCCAAGGAAATTAAAGTCGCGAANTTCATACATGAGCCTCTGGCTCGGGCAATATGGGAAACCATGCCCAACGTAAAGACATTAAACTTTGATTACTACTACTATTACTATTATCAGAAGTTATTCAAAGTTATTCAAGTTATTGAGCTAACCGCCTCCCGGTTAGCTCAATTGGTTAGAGCGCCGAATTGTGTTGTGCGTGAGGCCGAGGGTTCGAGCCCCGGCCGGACCGATACTCATGGTCTTAAAATAAGTGAGGAGAATTTGCTACCTTTCTATAATCAAAAAATGGATAGATATTCTAGTCTTCTCGGATAAGACGAATAAACTGTAGGCCCCGTCTTCTGCAGGGTTAGGGGTAGGAGACGTTAATTTCCCACGCACGAGATTACTGTTTGGTGGATGTCCTCCCCTGGGGTGGGATGGGTGGGAATTGGCCCTGAAAAGCCCCTATGGGGAGTGGTCATATAACGTGTGTATGTATGTATGAATGTATGTATGTATGTATCTACGTATGTATGTACGTATGTAAATGAAGAAAGCACTTCCTTGTCTTTGTACTGACCACTGCAAACTCTTTGCACCGAGAAGGGGATTGGGAACTAGGGCAGACCGGAAAGCTTGTACTTGCGCTACATGTTACTTTAACGTGATACTTGCACCTTTCACCACAGGGCCACCACACAAGCGGTGTGTCTACTCGTTTGTTCGAAATATAAAGAAATGTATGGGAGAAACGTATTTGGTAGATTTTGAGTTGACTGTTACTTAACTGTATACTGAGGTCAAGGTAAAGTAACAGTCAACGCAAAATCCACCCTGAATCGCTCAAATTTGCCATTTAGAACCACAGAAACGACAATACACAGCAAGTGAGGTAGGTTTACATTTATTTTGAGCCTTGGCATAGACATTCCTAGATATAAGTTTACGATATTACGACTCTTCAATATGCTCCCATACATTTCTTTATATTTAGAACAAACGACCAGACACGCCGCTTGTGTGGACACCCTGTGCTTTTACCACCCCCTCTTAGGACCTTAAGAGCAAACGGGATAGGAGGCGATCTTCCAGCCCTTCCAGGCTCCTTTGATGGTTAAAATGTGTCCACAAATTCAAACGCTTTCGGTAGATGAGCCGACAGTTCACCACCGCTATCGAGGCCCTGTAGCGAGCGTCCCTTGGAACACAGGCAGCTCAAACTCACTGCTAGAAAAGCGAACGTGACTCTTACCGTGTTGCGCAACGTTTTATATTTATAAAGGTTTGTATGGAATGTTATCGGTTTGCCTTAAAAGAGAGGAAAAAATGTCTTGTTTTGGAATAAAATGGACTTACCTTATTGCCTTGTTGTTTTCTTTGTCGATTCCGTCCTAGCGTCTCAGGCCATTTTGAAGCGTTTTCGGTGAGTTAGCGCTATGTTCACCGAAAACGCTTGAAAATGGCCTGAGACGCTAGGACGGAATCAACAAAGAAAACAACAAGGCGATAAGGTTAGTCCATTTTATTTCACAACAAGACATTTTTTCCTCTCTTTTAAGGCAAACCGATAACATCCCATACAAACCTTTATAAATATGAAACGTTGCGCAACACGGTAAGAGTCACGTCCGCTTTTCTAGTAATGAGCTTGGGCTGCCTGTGCTCGGAAGCGCGTTTTGTCATTATTAGGGACCTTAAGCATCGATGACTTTGGGTGTCACGGACGTTCGCCGGAAGTGATTTTTCAGCTGTCGTTAGCCGTTGCTATGGATACACCGTCCGTTCGTGATGAAAGGTCACGTCGACAACGCAGGATCTCTTAGTTTGACGTCCTGGAGAAAACGTAGAAATACAGGTGGATTTGAGATTAAAATTGCCGTACTTCGAAGATGATTTGATGTCATTCACTCCGATAACCACATTAAATTTTCTCGGCTGTTGTACTTGTAGTCATGTCAAGCTTGCAAGTTCCCGGTGAAGGAGGAAATTACGGTGGTCGAAGCAGATCCTCGAGGTTAGTTGTCATGCAGCTTAATTTTGTTTTGGACGAAAATCTCTGAAGTCTTACAAGTAGCTTAGCGTAATGCGTACTTTGAGAAAAAAATTCTTAACCTTAGGTTAAAGTTAACTTCGCTACAGCAGATAAATATCAAAAGTCGTCCGTTAGTTTTGTGCAACAAGCAGTCGGCAGTTCCTATTTTGTTTATCTTTTTTGTCCGGCCCGGCTCAAAGTGCGACATCTAGCTATACGAATGTACACACTTTTTTCTCTAGCAATCTTTCTTAAAGGACTATCTGAGATTGACGGAAATTAAAGAATATAGGTAGCCGTGATACCGCCCAAACTGGTTTGAAAATAAAATGTGTGTTGCAGCTATTAAACTTACTCTTACACGTAAAGCATGTTATTTAAGCTTAAGTAATAGAGCACTTTTTCCGTGTTTATATAGCCTCATCTAAACACGAGGTTGGTTGGGAGAATTCAAGACAGTTTGCAACTGTCTTGAATTCTGTCTACCAGTCAGCCATTTGTTGGCTGACTGGTAGAATTCATATTAATTACTTTACTGACGTACTACTATCCTCTGTATAGAACATTTAAATTAGCCTAAAATCGCTGGGAAACGAAGGATTTTCAGCTTGGGAATGAAAAATATAAATTTTTACCAAAAATAGGGTGTACGCTCGAAAACTGGAAGTAATGTATAATTGGGGGGACTTA